CCACGTATAAACTGTCCACGCTCAGTGAATACTGCCAGTCCGTGGCGACTGTCAGACACAATGACGTCATCATTCCTACCAGCAGCAACGAAGGCGGGGTGATTCAGTTTACCTTCACCTTCTTCCTTCCCAATCTTCATTACGAAATCTCCATCAGATGTAAACACAAAGATGTAATGTGCCTTAGGATCAGCTACCAATATATGTCCTTTACTGTTGACAGTTACGCCATAAGGTTTGACAAATTCTTTATATGTGAACTGTTTTATCTTTTCTCTATTTTCGCTGTATATATGGACACGTTTAGTGTAAAATACTACCACGACAATATTCCCATTGGGTGCCATAGCAACACCAGTGGGGCGCTCTGAATCAAGCAGTATCTGATCAATGTATTTCCCATTGCTGTCAAGTATCTGTATCCTTTTGTTACCAAAGTCTGCTACCAGAACATTGCCCTTCTTATCAACAGTAACGCCTACAGGTTGATTGAATTCTGCATTGTTCACTCCATTTCTCCCTACTTCCCACTGCCCCTTTGTATCCATCACATCAATGATATATGGGTTACAATCTGCAGGCGCACCATACTTATTCAAAACTATTTCATGACGTCCTACCTTAGTAGGTCGAAAGGTCACCTCATGTTTAGTGGTGATGCGAGTTTCCACAGGTCGACTGCCAGGATCACGGACTAAGGCAGGTAAGGCTTCCATGTCATCACAGTCGGCGAGATAACGAATGGTTGTTGTACAATCCATATTCACCACTCTCGCATTCGTATATACGTCACATTTGATCTTTTTTGACGGTTTTACATCAATGATGTATGGGCTGCCCTCTATCGGCGTACTGTATAACGTGACAGTCGCGTGGTGTTTTCCTTCTCTCTGTGGTTTGTACTTTGCCATGTAAGTCCCATCGCCATTGTCATCTGTAGTGGTGACAACATTTCGGTTATCAGGGTCATTTAGTATGACCTCTACAGGAATTGCAGATACACCGAGTTGTTTACCATTCATGTCACGTGGGGTTATAGTGAAATTGCAGGTTTTACCAACTACTGCATCGCTTTTGATGACGTCACAACTGATTTTCACATGATAACCAGCAAACACTGTATTATTTACCATATTTAGATTTAC